AGGGAGAACCGCGACCGGCCCTCGCTCGGAGGCCGCGCGAGTGCCTGATGCAATTTAGCGAGAGGAGACGCTTCTTAAAGGGGCAGAGCTCAGAAGAGCGCTTAACGCCGAAGCGCTGCTTTCTCGCGGAGGCATCCTGCTTTCCAGTTTAACTGCTCGGAAGGTAGTAGGCCTGTTGCCTCCAGAAGAACTAATCTTCCATCAGTTCTGAACCATTTATTTAGTTCCGTGTAATTAATGAGATTTTCTTCCAATAATCAAGATCAGGGTAAATGTGCAACCGAATAAACCTGTTAACCACAAAAAAAAAATCAGTGGAACCTACTTTCAAGTTAAGATATAGAATTGTAATCTTCTTTCTTCCTGGAAGTTTCATGTAAGGCTCTGAATGGACAGGCATCATCTTGTAGAGGGGAAATACCCCTCCATTTTCCTTCATGAATTTGATCTCTTTGCAGCTCCCCCGTTTCTTTTGCTATCGTGATCCTATGTATATCCATTCAGAAGCAAGCTTTGCTCTGTTCAGGGCGGTTTGTTTGCTTGCTTGCTTGCTTGAATGACGTCAAGTAATCAAGTAGGTGCCGATTCTTAGCGACCATATGGATAGATTCTCTCCAGAATGATCTGTCTTCAGCGTGGCTTTTTGGATCTCTCGGTGCACTGGTTGTATTCAGCCTTACTATTATCCTAGTAAATGTGTCTGGGATTACAGTGCACATCTCCGTATCCTAGTTCTTGCTTTATTCAAAACCCATTCCTTCCCATTCTTTCTTTTAGCTGGTCTATACTCCCTGTAACATTGGATCTGTCTTAAAAAGTTAAGCAGAATGGACCTGGCTAGCACTTAGATGGGAGACAATCAAAAAGTCCCAAGGCTATGGATCACACTGGGAAATAGGAAGGGAGGAAGGAAGGAAGTTTGGATTGCTGCCAAGAAAACTCTATGAAACGGACATGGATATGAAGTGACCAGGATTTGAGCAAAACTGGAAGAAAACTATCTTAACCTTTGCAAAACAACCCAATCCTATTAACCTTTCATTTACTTATTGGTACATTTATTCCCTGTTCTCTTCCTAAAAAGAAAGCTATAGGGTCCTCCTCTGCATTTCATCCTCAGAAGAATCTGTAAAGTAACCTAAACTGAGAGATCGTTATTGACACAAACTCATTCAGTAACATTCACAGTTGATTGTTGGAACGTGGCTTTCCCAGCTTGTAGTCCAGCATTTAACCTCTGTGCTGCACTGCCTCTATGCATGGCACTTTATTAATTTCAATCTTCAATGTGTAACGTATTTATCAAAGGTGGGGACAGAAAACCACAAAGTAAGGAAAACACTGTATCTAAATCATCTGACCAGCAGTAAATAAAAAGTGACGCTGGCTTGAAAGTGATTATGTGCCATCCAGTCATTTTCAATTCCTAAATGACCACATAGATAAATTTTCTCCATGATGAGCTATCCCTAACCTGGTCTTTCAGGTCTTCCAATAGTGTACTCACAGCCACTGTAACTGAGAGCATCCACCTTACTGCTGGTCCTCTTCTTTCCCAACATTAGAGCCTTTTCCAGAGAGCTAGTCTTCGCATAATGTATCCAAAATAGAATAATTTGAGCCTGTTTATTTGTGCCTTGAGTGAGAACCCTGAGTTGATCTGTTCAATGATCTATTTGTTTATTTTCTTGGTTGTTGTCAGCCCTCCCAGGTAAACCCAACAGGAAACACAACCAGATGAGCTACTTCTATTTTATTGAGAGGCTACATTAACAGAATCTTGCAAGTCTGAAAGTACAACTCTCCTGCTGTCCCTATTTACCACCTGATCTGTTAGGGCAGGTCCTTTCTTTCTCTGTATGTTACTCAGTTGGGGGCTCCTCCCCCTTTTATCACATCATTCCCTAGGCAGCATCTCCCCCCCAGCAAGGTCATTCTCACATTCCATTACAGCTGTCCACAGTATTCTCAGGAGTCTTTTCCAACACCAAAGTTCAAAAGCATCAATATTCTTCCTATCCTGCTTCTTCAAAATCCAACTTTTGCTTCCATAGAGGGTCACAGGAAATACCATGGCTTACATGATTCTGATCTTTGTAGGTATAGAGACATAAACATGGCATACAAATAACTTTTCCAAAGCCTTCATGGCTGCTCTATCAAGTGCTAGTCTGTGGTGGATTTCCTGACTGCTTGTTCCTTTATTGTTGGTTGATCCTAAAAGGCAGAAGCTATCCACCACTTTGATATCTTCATTACCAGTTCTAAGCCTTGTTGTTCCACTTGTCATTAGTTTGGTCTTTTTTATATTTAATTTTAGTCCATTTTTTTTTCACTTTGCTCCTTAACTTTTATTACTAGAGCTTGCAGATCCTTTGCATTTTCAGCTATCAGGATAGTTCATCAGCATAGCACAGGTTATTGATGTTTCTTCCTCCAGTTGTAAAACCACACTCATCTTCTTCCAATCCAGCTTCCCTTAATATATATTCAGCATATAGGTTGAATAAATAAGAGGAGAGTATACAGCCTTGCCTCACTTCTTTACCAACTTGGAGCCAGCCATGGTGATGTTCTGTCCATACTGCAGCTTCCTGACTGTATATAAGTTTCTCATGACGATGAGATGTTCTGAGATTCCCATTTTTCTGAGGACTTTCCACAGCTTGACATGATCAACACAGTCCTTGTGATGGAAGGCATGAGTGGGGAAGGTTCTGGAATGGAGCTTCAAGGTTGCCAGAAAGGGGGAGAGACATTCCAGGGGAAGCACCTCCTCAGTCCCCAGCCAGAGTGTGGGAAAGCCA